ATTTATATAAATGAGATAAACGTAGGAATAAGGAAACCAAAACAATTTATTCCATAAAATAAGTATTGCACGATATGTAGCTATAAGACTGAAATTGATTGGTACTCATTCTATTTTTAATTGTTAATAATTTCAATTAATAAACAACCAAATGAAAAGTAAGGTCAGAAAACTAACAACGTAGTAGATACAGTTGGTAATATTTTAAAGATTTATGAGGTTTCACAGAGGATCAAATCTTTAAGAGGTTTGTTTCCTTCTGCTTCTCGTTGCATAAAAATATAACATTTGCTACAACCTCGCTAGTTTGTCCTGATAAAACTTTACGTTGTAATTTGGATTTAAAATCCATTATAAACGAGTAAATCTCTTAGCACACCAAGGAATAAATGGCGACAATTGATAGCGTAAAATTGTATGTATTCAACCCACGAATTCGTAACAATACATACAATTCACAGATAATAAGTAATAAAGTTATTGAAGCCGAATTGAGCCGCTAGCTACTGCGCACCGAGACGGCTTGACATTATTCAAAAATTCGCATCTCTTCCTACATTTTTTGACGAGCTGTAGAGTTGTGCATGTCGGTAGAATAGTTGTTTTCCTAAAAATGCTAGGCCCCGACGACCCAATTCTATCGATTCTATCTCTGGCCAAGGAAGGACTCCCCTTTCGTTACGTCACCAAGTAAGTGGCTTTGGAATTATCCTGACACTGAAGCTTGCTTATCAACTGCCCTCGTAATAACAGTGAAGAGGTACAGGGTAATACTCCGTTGTTGTTTTTTCAACTTCATCGATTTGAACATCCCCTTATACACTATTTCTCCAAAGTTATGCCCTATACGTTATACTTATCTTCAACGCAAAGTTAGCGAACCTAAATGGCTGTGTGAAGAGCACATGGCAACAAGAATGTCGATAGCCGTTTAGATTTTCTCAACGGTTCAAAAAGCGCCGGCCGGCTCACCGAAGGCAAAGCGGTGTGAGGTCTTCGTACCCTTATTATTTCTTAGCAGACGCTGTGACGTTACGTGCCGTTATATTTCATAATTAAATTCATAATTAATACGTTTAGCTTTGTAGGTACAAGCCGCGAAAACTGCCTTGACGCAAGATGGTTTACACTTTTATGCGCGTCATCTTTTTAAATGTCTGACGCTAGATTTTGATGCTTGATTAGATCGAGTAGACAAGCAGATAAGACGTTCTGCTTTCTTTCAGTTGCCACGCCTACTGGCGACGAAAAAATCGAGATTGAGATTTGTACAAGGATGTTAAGAACGATAAGCTTGAAAAAATCAAAAGCGCCTTAAAAGATGTCGACGTACCACCCTGTGCCATTTTATTTTATTACAAGGGCAGTACGTAAACATTTCGATATGGGTAGTAAAACTTGATGGTGCTCTCAAATGGGAGGCTCAGGTAGTCTTTATGTAAAAAACTTTCAACGCAGTATTGCGACAATTAAAATGTATCTCTACGCAAGAAGGCCTTTTAACCGCATATTTTGGCATTTTTCACTCTCATCTGAAATATGGCATCATGATTTGGGGAGGATCATGTCACGTTGTGCGTGCATTCAAAATGCAAAATCGTGCAGTGAGGATTATAGCAGGTGCCAAGTTCAATGAGCACTGCAAAACTCTCTTCCAAATGTTGGGGATATTGCCGTTGCCATCTATCTACATACTTTACACTTTGCTACACATCCATGAAAACTTTAACTGCTACACAACCCAATCGGAAATTCACAACTATAATACAAGACAGGCTGGAACACCGAGACTACCACGTTATATACATTGTGTAAACGTTATGATAGTCATTATTTAAATGGATGATAGAAAGGGTTAGAAGAAGCAAAAAGATTCATATAACATGGGGGTCAAAACGGCTTTTTTTAGAGAAAAGCGACTTTAAAGTAAAATAAAATCTGACAACGCCGCAATGCCAGACGCAAATTACGACGAAACCCAGTGTAAATAAAGATGGAGTTTGTTATTTTTGGCTCTTAGGTATTATTTCATTATTTGATAATGTACTCGTAAAATGCAAACAACTAAAAAAATAGACTAACCAGCGCTTCACCTGGTGTGTGAAAGTTTATTGAACATATTAAAAAAATCTACTTACAAATAGGGAACACAATTTTGATACATCCGTTGTTTTTCTTTTTAAAACCCATACTGCACTTTTTGTATTTAAAGAAGGTGTTCAAGATGTCGTCCTGCACTTTCCACACAAGCTTCATTACGACGAACCCAGTTTCTTTTTACTCTAGGTCCTCGAAGTTTTCTATTTATTATTTCAACCGCATTAAATTTTTTTTCGCGAAGTTGTGCCTCAGTTGTTATTGGACCAGCCCCATAAACCAGCCCTTTAAGTTCTCCTCAATACCAGAAATCCATCGGTTTGAGGTCAGGAGATCTTGCTGGCCATTTTCGAGGATCAGGAGCATTTCGACCGATCTAGCGATTTGGACTATGTTCATTCAAATACTGAATGGCGCCTCTAAAAATGTGTGGTGTGCCCCGTCATGAAGAAACCACAAATTCTGTCTCCGTTGTAATGGCATGTTGTCTAAGGTCTGTTCCAAAAGTTCTGGTAGGTTATTGGCTAGAAACTTTGGGGGTAACTCGAAAGGGCCAATTACCTGATCGTCAAGAATACCCGCCCAAATATTTATTTTAAAGCGTTGTTGGAAATGATCTTCACGAATGGTATGAGGATTTTCTTGAGCCTACGTGTGAGGATTATGGAAATTCAATATCCCGTCTCGCGTAAAAGTACATTCGTGCGTCGCTAGAATGTTTTTAAAAAAATCCAGATTTTCAATGTTTTTGTGCAAAAACCACTGACAGAATGTTAGTCTGCGAGGATAGTCTTCTGGTAACAAGGCCCGCACTCGTTGTACATGGTAGGGATAAAGCAAATTTTCCCGTAGGATTCTATGGACTATGGTATGCGATGGTCCTACGCGTCGGCCTAATTCCCGAGTGCTGATATCTGCATTGATTTCCACGATATTTAAAATTTGTTCCAACCTGCTCTACAGTACAGTCTTTCCCGAGTGCTAATATTAGTGGGCTGAACACTTCCTGTATCTCGAAGTCATTGGTACACTTGCACAAATGTCCTTCTTTCTGGGTGTACCCATTGGCGAAATATGTCGCGATAAATTTGAGCTGCAAGATTTGAATTCTGACGAGCTTTAGCGTAAACTAACAAAATGTCGGCGAACTCTTGATTCGAGAACATTGTAAATAAACACGACGACGTACGCGAACAAAAACAAAACAACACGCCCAATGCTCTGCTCGATAAAGTAATGTATCTATGCAAAACGATAACTAATCACTGTTACAGTTTGCGATCGATTGCCGGTTCGATAAGAGTGATGAATGACCGACGCGCTGTTGTTACGTGTGTTTTAAATATTTAATTTAATGAAACTTACTTACTGACTACAAATTTTGGCTTAACTTAGAAAAATGTAATGCCATTTATTTGTTAATTACCCAATTTAAAAACGTTTTAGATTAGATTATAGAAATTAGTGTAGATTGTGGTGATTGTGGTCGATATAAAGCACTTAAAGTTGTGAACTATGAAGCCATTTAGACAAAAATCTATTGACTTTTGGACCATGGGTCATATGAACTTTTTGACTTGTTTTGACGCCCCCTATTACGCATTTCAATAATGACTACCAAAACGTTTACACCTTGTATGTGCCAGAAATTCAGTGAACCTAATTTTTTACAGTAAGCTACCTCAGACCATCCGTGAGCTGAATTATATGCAATTCAAAAAACAAACGAAGTGGATCCTCCTCGATCAATGTTGCCACTGCTGATGCCAGTTTACCCGCTCCAGTGCCCATTGGTACGTGGCAACTCTATGATTGTTCAAAAGTCGGATACTCTTTGGTGCGACGACTGGTTTTGGAAGCTTATTTAAAAAAGCACCTAGCAAATTTTACCTTATATACCTTAACAAATTAGAATTTAAAGTTCTTCTTACGGTACGATTGGATGCTATTATTCCACTATGCCGTCGTAAGTTTTTATTCATGGTTCCGGATAAATTAAAGCTACATCATGCACTAAACGACCTTCTCCCATTAATCTTATAAAATTCTCTGGTACTTTTTGGAAAAGACGAGGTTTTAGAAAATAAAATTATACTGTGAAGTCTGCAATCAATCTTATTGTTACTTAGCAATTGAATGTTTGACTTGTAGGTAGAAGATGAAACCGGAGAAATGTCCTATTTGCATCGAGAGGGTAATAAAAAAAATACGAGGTCCAGCCAAAAGGCATTTATGGCGGGAAGTTAAAAATTCGATAATTTGAGATATAGCTAACTTTAGAAAAAATTCAGACATCACTTTTTTAGGATAGTCTAAAGGTGAAAAATTTGCATTGACAAATTTCCAAGTTCAAAAATTGAGAATCTGACTTAGCCCCGAACTTTGCTAAAAAAACATAACTTCCTTTGCTGTCCTTTCTGGATCCAGCGATTGTCAAGAGAAGATAGTTAAAGCGATCTTTCAGACCTAGGATGTCACGTCGGTCAACAGCCATCGTGTCAACAGTAATTAACATAACCTCCTGAGCCGTTACCACCGAGAGTACATGGCCAAACAACTGGGCTGTGAAAAGCCTGTGACGTCACGCATGTTCTTATGCAGTTTCGCGATGCTGGCTTGCAAGAGAGCAGCGCCACTATTTCTCTGCGGTGTTGTCATATCTAGATTTGATATAGCAGTAACGAAATCTCTACTAATTAGTTGTACCTCTGTGTGGGCGAATTTGCAAGATGTACTCGGAGCCTGCGCAGCTTCAGTGATGATGTGATTATTCTTTCTGATCTGCCTCAGTATGTCAAGAATACATTTTCGATATTACGTTCAATCTGTCACTTGTGAAGTCTAATAATTAGAATATGTGGCAACCTTGGTAACACCGCTAACATCCAACAGCAAACTTACCTCAAATTCCGAGCCTCTCTTATGTATCTTTCTGTGCTATGTAAAATGTAAATTATTGATGTTTTAAACTTATATTTGTGTCTCGCGATTGTTTAGCTAAGTTTTCAAAATGCCTTACAAGTGCTGCGTTCCTAATTGTGCCGGTAATTACGGGAAGGGTCCGAAGGTACACGTATTTTCGTTTCCATTGAATGAAAACTGTCGTAAAAGATGGCTCAATGCAATCCCTCGTAGTGATTTAGTGGTCACAAAAAACACCAGAGTATGCAATTTGCACTTCGCTGAGGACAGCATCATTTGGGAATCCACCTTCCATGACAAAAAGACAGGTAGGACCATTACTGTACCCCTTAAGTATCCAAAATAGAAGGCAGATGTAATTCCAAGTATCTTTGCAAATTGACCAAAATATCTTTCAAAGGACATAGCAAGCAGAAGAAGCCGAGATGAGAAATTGAGGAACAAGGAACAAGAACAACTACTCAAAGCACTGCAAAGTAGCATTGATGATTATTCCTCCTATCCAAAATCAACAAGTTTTTAAAATTATTCACTTTCTCACAGTTTTCAGTTCATGGCAATGTCCATATGGGTGGCATAAAATTGTTCAGGATAAAGTTACTTTGTTTAAGTTAGTTAAGTTGTCTAGATAACATCTTCATAAACTACGTAGACTCAGAAATTAGCGTCAATGTTTTTGATACTCATTATTCAGATCATTTAGCGATTGACTATACTTTTAATTTATCACATGCACCGAAAGTACGTAGGAAACTCTATTATAGACCTATAACAAACAGCGGCCTTTTCAAACTTTACAATGATATGGAATCAACATCTTTCGAATTTGTTAATGAAAAAAGTACGACAATCGAATATAAAATTGAAAAATTCATATCCATTGTCAGAATTTCGGTCAATCAACATCTTCCTATAAAATCGCGACTTGTTAATGATAATATAAGCTCCTGTAATGTGTATTGGTTCAATGATCATTTAAGAAATATGAGAGAGACTTTGACTTTCCTAACAGAGCTTCATAAAGACGATGTTACTTTAGTTAGTACGGACTGCTTGAAACAATTTAAATACAGTTACAGACAAGAAATTGTCAAAGCTAAGATTAAAGCCAATGATGACTACATTAATAAATCCAACAACAGACAACATGCTGCTTGGAATATCATAAAGAATGTTAAACCGAACGTGCACAACCAGGACTCCTCAACATCTCTCACAGCACATCAATTCAACGACTTTTTTACCCATATCGCACAAAAACTTTTAAATAAAATTACCCCATCCGATGTTTCTCCATCGCATTATATGAATCATCCTACTCATAGTTCACACTTTCGATTCAGGGAAGTTTCATATCATGATGTGAGAACTGCCATAAATAAACTAAAAAACTCAAAGAGTACTGACCCATATGGCTTTACTGTCAGGATTGTCAAAACCTTGCAAAATCTCATCATATATCCTCTAACCAAGTTATTCAATCAGTGTATAGAAAGTAATACCTTTCCGGATTTTTTCAAACTATCTAAAATTATACCCATTTTCAAACAAGGGGATACTGAAGAGTTATGCAACTACAGGCCCATTTCCTTAATACCTATTTTTGCGAAAATTTTGGAATTATTGTTGAAAGATCAAATTAATGAATACTTTGAGGCTAATAATCTATTTTGCTCAACACAGTTTGGTTTTAGGAAAAATCGTTCCACCACATCAGGTATTAACAGTTTTATTCAGTTTGTGCACGAGACTTTTGAAAACAACCTATATGGCGCAGCATGTTTGTTGGACTTGTCCAAAGCTTTTGATTGTGTTCAACACGACATCCTGTTGGAAAAGCTCCCTTTTTATAACTTTCATGAAACATCCACTGCAATGATTAAATCTTACTTGAGTAATCGACGCCAATTTGTATTCTTTAAAGGTTCATCATCCTCACAGTTAGTCGCTGCTCACGGGGTACCGCAAGGCTCGGTATTGGGACCTATTTTATTTTTAATTTACGTCAATGATATAACTAACTATAATGTGAATAATAACTTAATCCTATTCGCTGATGACACTACCTTGATGAATAGCAATGCCTCTTTAGCCTCATTGATATTCGACTCTGAAGCTCATAAAAGAAAACTATCAAACTGGTTAACCGCTAATAAGTTGACCATCAATGAAACCAAGTCTCAGATGATTATTCTTAGCTTGAGGCAGCACGACACTAATACACTAAAGTCCGTGAAGTTACTAGGAGTCTACCTTGATGAACACTTGTCGTGGGAAACTCACGTAATCCATGTTCTCAATGCACTAGCAAAATATATATATTTGATAAGGAACTTGAAACAAAATGTCTCTCAGTCAGTTCTTCTTCTAACATATTATTCCTACTTTCAATCAAGAATTTCATACGCATTGTTAAACTGGGGTCACTCGGCCCATTCGTCAAAAGTTTTTGGATTACAACGACGTTGCTTGCGGTACATTGCTGGCCTCAAATACACGGAACCTTGCAAGGAAGCTTTTATAGAATTGAAAATCATGACAGTACCTTCTCTTTACATCTTCACATGTCTGATGTATATAAAGACTAACCTGAGCCAATATACTACCCACAGTGATGTCCACAGTTATAGAACCAGAAATATGGATAAAATCTTAGTACCTCATAGCCGTCTCCAAACCACCAGGAACGGCACAAACTATTATGGGATAGTTTTTTATAACCTGTTGCCAGACCGTATAAAGAAACTGGATGCGAAAGTTTTTAAAAATAAAGTTAATGCTTATCTGACTACTAAAGCATTTTACTCGATCAACGAGTATTTGAGCAACAATTTTTCAGACTTGTCGGATTGTTAGCAAATACAACAGTGTTCCTACACCTGGGATCCTCTAGGCTCCTTGAACTTTCTACTAAGTCATCTGGTAAATTTTTATATCAACATTTCATATGTCTTACCATTTTAACGTATATGTGTGTATGTGTGTATATATGTATGTGTGTATATATGTATGTGTGCGTGTGTGTGTGTAGAAGTAAACATATTGTGGTTAAATGAATATGCGTGTATCTATGTACGTATATATGTCCTCCTGTTTTTACAACTTTTATGGACTGTATCTGTTTTATTGAATCATAATATCATAAGTTGATGTTTTTCTGTGTAATTTGAACATCAGTCTTTTGTCAGACTGCTTTTTTGTATTAATTTTGTTTTTCTTTTGACTTGTGTAAACACGCTGGTGTACTTAACACAAATAAAGAATTGAATTGAATTGAAAAAAAAAATATAAACCAGCACCCATCATAACTCACTTTGTAATTGTTGATAAAGATCTCAATGTAAAAACGTATATGTACTCCCAAGAATTGTTCTCAACTCAGGTAATATTAAAACTCCATTTTTATTATCTAATATACACAACTCGCATGATGTTCTGAATGTTCTTTCTGAGAATGCAGATGCTTCTAGGGAATATTCAGGTAAAGACCAGTTCAGAGCCACTATCAACCATGCTCACAATATTTGAAATAGCACAGAACTATTCACCGATGAAGAGACCCACACTGTCATTCAATTTATTTGTGAGCAACTAAAGCTTGTTATTAGTCAGAAGAACAGACACAGTTACTCATCAGAAACAATAGTGTTTTGCTCTATGTTGTATACAATCAGTCCACATTCATATAGATTTATTAGGAGCCATGGAGCACTTATTTTACCACACAAAAATACTCTGAAGTCAATTTGTAATACACTGATGGTCGATCCAGTTCCAGATGTGAGATATAACTTTTTCGGCTATGCAAAGAACACAACTGTTCCACAAGCACTACATTTTTTATATAATTTTCAAGTACCATTATAATTATGCCTATAATAATAGTAAATTGTCCACATATTCCTGTGAAATTTTGTTGATCGGTTGTGACTAACATGGGGTTATTCATTGAAGAATTTATCATTTTTAGCAAGCTTTTATAACATCAACTTATTACTCTAATGTGCACGTAATGTTGGATGAAATATCGGTGAAAATCAGGGTGAAAATAGTTAATAACTACTTTAATATTTTCCACCAAGTTGCCTTCATACACTAAAAATACTTTTTTGAATTATCCGTTATTTACATCAGGTAGAGTATATTAGTGTAGTAGTATAATAATATATTATTCACTAGCGCTGATGTACGGCACGCCGTGCTGTCGGCCGGCCGACCGGCCTACTCATGGTGACGTCACGCGTCTGCTGTCAGGCCTTGTACTCTCGGTGGTAACGCCTGAGCCCGGCAATTGGGCTCCGAAAGTTCCATAGCAACTCCCAGAAACTGGAGGTGGATATTCAATGACAATAAATAGTAAAGTCGTAAGCCAAAAATTAAAATATGAAGGTTAAAACCAAGCACCTTTATAAGCATGGATTAAGACATTCATGATCATGAATATAAGAATATTATGGTTAGAGATCCATGCAGTACAGTAGAACAAAGGGAACACTTCGTGAATGCTCACTTTTCAGGTAACCAAAACACTACAACCAATAGCGCAGTAACATTGTAATTGCACTACTTGATTTCAGAAGCGACCGTTATAACCATTTGCGTGTAAATGACGCCAGTGAAAGCTTGCTCTGGGAACGAGTGCCCAGAGGAATGGAGTGTGTAACATTAACGGGCCTAAGGACGGTCGTGTTGACTGACACTAACCAGGCGTGTGAATCCTTTAGAAGGAATTCGTGTTCTACAGAGTTGAACTCGCATGAAAAATGTGTTAGAAATATTTCGTATGCTTACAGATATTATGTTTTTGGATTTCATGTGAAATGTACATCACGGAAACCTATGTCATCTCCGCTGGTTTGTCTGTAGAACTGTCCGCTAATCATTGTCCCGTCTTTACTTGCAAAGTACTGCTCGGATTTGGATGAAATTTTCATTCAAGGTGTCACCTGATTGGAGAGCAATAAAGATAAACAACACGTTTCAGAGGCTCCTGGCCATTTTCAGAAACGTATTTGTAGGGGTTGAACATTGTGTGATGGTGATTTTAGGGAGTAGGGAAGAGTATTCCCAAGCTTTTTGATGCTAGTACTCGTATATCAATACGCATCCAGCCTCTGTAATTATACCTATTTTATATCCGTACATTCGCCCTCAAACAGAAACAGAACAAAACCCTGCTCACTGCTATACCGCTCGTGCTGGTCAGCATAGCATGACTGACGTTGCCAGATGGTCGATACTCTCGGTAGGGCAGGGATGAAATTTCTAGATCGCAGCGTTATCAAATGGATTGGATCTATGGACCTGCTTGGCTCAATTGATCTATTGAATTTATTTTGGAGGGGTTAACCTGTGCGGAACATAATTTTTAATAAATATTTTCAGCAGACGGATCGCGTATCGGTTTTTAAAGATTACATCATATGTATTCGATCCGAGTGACTTGTAAAAGCAGGAAGGAGACGAC